ATGGTCTATTGTACTGAAATCTTTCCTGAACCCCGCTTGTTCCACAGGTTGATTTTCGTCGAGTTTGATTGAGATTCTGTCCAAAATGACTTTGGCGAAAACTTTATATACATTTGAGATGAGAGAAATGGGTCTGTAGTTTCCTATATCGTCTTTAGGACCTTTCTTGTGGAGAAGTATTATATGAGATTCTGCCCATCGACTAGGAATGTTACCCGTATGTAGAATCTCGTTAAAGATTTTTCTTAGAAGCGGACTTAGTTCTGTGATTGTCCCTCTCATAAGTTCGTTTGTGATCCTGTCGGGGCCGGGTGCTTTATCCATTTTCTGACTTTTTATTGCTTTTTCTACTTCCGATACTAATATTTCTGGTATGTCTTCGTTTCCTTCAGTCACATGCATCTGTTTGTAGTATTTTAAATTTCACTCCCCCCCCCACCCCCAAACCCCCCCACCAAACACAAACCCAAACACCCAACAAAAAAAAAAAACAACAAACCTGGAAAATTTTTTTAGGAAAAAAAAAAAAAAAAAAAAAAAAAAAAAAAAAAAAAAAAATAAAAAAAAAAAAAACACCGAACCCCACACAAAAAAAAACCCCCAACCCCCCCCCCCCCACAAACACCAACAAAAAAAACCCACAAAAAATCACTATTATGTGTGCTAAAGCTAGATTGATTTGAATATAGTAACCGATAATAATTTGTTGCTATATTTTGGATTGAACTCCGAGTAGTAGCTGGCAGTTCTTTTTCCTTTTCTCTTAACGTTGGTATCCATTCTTTCCCTTTTTCACGGAGTTCCTTAAGCGCTTTTTTCGTGCCTCCCGTTTTGTTGATGTGATTCTCTAAAATTGTGTTTCTTCTGATTTTTCTGTCCTTCCTCATATTTTCACGAATCTGTTTGCTAAGGTTAGATATTTGTTGTTGGTTCTCCTTTTTATGCTTTTTTATTAACAACTTTCTATCTTCAATTAGTTTTAACGTTCTTTCACTCAAAATGTTTTCTTTACTCTCGTTTGATTGTTTTCCTGCCTGCTTAAGCTTATTCTCAATTTTTTTTGTATTTTACACTTAGGTCCAGATCTGAATCAACGACTTCCATCAGATCTTTTATTGTGTTTTCTGTGTCCGTTTGTGTGTTTGTTGTTTGCGTGTGGTTCATATGGTGTCTAGGAGCTTTTGGACTTCTTTCATTTAGACAACTGCGTACCATACGATGGTTTGTGTTGAAATTTAGTTTCTGTATTATTTCCGTATCACTAAATACCCTAGCTTTGTTAGTTATTATGTAGTCGATTTCGTTCTTAACCTTTCCGTCTGGAGACATCCATGTCCATTTGTTCTTGGGTTTTTTACGGAACATGGAGTTTAGAAGTGTTAAGTTTTGCTCAAGAAGGAACTCTACTAGTTTTTCTCCATTTTTACTTCTTTTGCCTCTTCCGTATTTTCCTATTATATGTTCTTCTCCGGGTATTTGGACGCCAACTTGGGCATTGAAATCTCCCATGAGCACGATATTGTTTTCGGAATATTTTTCGATAGCTTCACGTAATTTATCGTAGAATTTGTCGATCTCAGTTTTTGTTGCTTGTTCTGTCGGCGAGTAGACTTGAATGACTGTCCATTTTTTTCCATACTTTGGTAAGTTAATATGAATCACCGCTATCCTGTCCGATATCCCTTCAAAACCAATTATCTGTTTTTTAAGTTTTGACTTAACCAGGAATCCTACCCCTCTGTGTCCAGCGGTTTCACCTTTGAAATACATAATATAGCTGTTTCGCTCTTCTATTCCTTCTCCTATTCACCTCATCTCGCTTATGCCCAAGATGTCCCACTTGAGGTTTTCGATAGCTAACTCTAGCTCATGCAAACTTTCTTCTGTTCTCAGGGTTCGTGTATTTAGTGTACATATGTATAAACTGCTTCGTTTTTGTTTATCTTTTTGGGTATTTGATTTTGTTGACTGATATGTTGGAGGGTGGTGGTCGGCTTCCCCCACAGTGACCGGCCGGATTGGGGGACAAAACATTAGAGTTTTTCTTATATCTGTGTTTGTTGTTGCATCTGTTTGTTGTTTCCGGTTCGAAGAGGCCTTTGTTCGTTTTTTTGCATCTCTGACATCGAGGCGAATCTTTCACGCGTTACAAATGTAAGTATGCTTGGCTTAACTACTTCCTTAATTGTACTTGGGGGCTGTATTTCAGTAATTTCATTCTGGGTATTTGTCTTTTTCTGAGATGGGGTGGGAGTGGTTGGGTGTTGGTGTTTCCAGCTTCCTCTTTTCGCGGCTGGGGTTCGTTGGTTTTTTAACAATTAGCTTATCGTATTTTATGAACGCTATGTTTCCTTTTTTTCTTTCCGCTTCTAATTCTGGCTTAAGTTGTTTGCGTATTTCCAGAACTTCTTTAGGGTAGTCCTCATTGACATACACATTTGTAGGAAGGTTGCGCTTGTTTTTCAGGATAAGATGTTTTTTCCAAGATGTTGTTAGAGATATTATTAACTGTCGGTTCTTTTCATAATTTGTCCCGATTCTATGGATCTCACTTATTTCCTGACTATCTATATGAGTTCCCGAAACTTGCAAAATTTTCTTCACAAAATCCACCAACTCTAACTCAGTTTTTCCTTTTTCTTCGATGCCGAATAAAACTAGATTATTCTTACGCTTTTCCTTCTCTAAAAAGGATACTTTTTGTTCCAGGTTACTGACTCTAGTTTTAAGGTTGTTGTTTTCTTCTGTTATTATTTTTAACTTATCGTTCAGGGCCTCCATTACATTTTTCGTTATTGCTGTTGTTAATGTTATTGTTTGTTCATTAAACTTTTCATTTATTTTGGAGAGTAAAATTTCCATTTGCTTTTCCATTTTATTTTTTTTTCTCAGGGTATTTTGGTGTTTTGATGTGGTAACACTTAAATTTATGGTAATCCTTTTTCTACGTTGGCAACACTTTTTGCAGTTGTCAGCTGTCAAATAGCAGTGACAGATTTTATTTGGTTGGCACTACCTATAATCTTGGTATCTATGGTGTGTGTGCTTAACTTTGAGGTTATAACGATCAGAACTTTGTTTGAACAGAATCGCCACAAAATTAGTTATTTCACTGTAATTTCTGCTGAAACACTCTTCTGGTTTGAACTTCTGAACTTTTCACTGTAGTATACGTTCGGTTTTTCGTTTTTTGCACTGTTTAATTGGAAATATTTACGGAGCTCTCACTTGTACGTGTTTACACTTTGATCACCGGAACCGGAAGGAAATATGGTTGGTTACCTGGGACCAATAGTCCGACTACGCAAGCCCGACTTCGGCCGAGAGGTCAATCGACGGATTTAACTCGGCTTGGCAGCGTTCGGGAAATTGCGACACATCTTCTCGTCGGATGTACCTCAAAACCTCAACAGTAGATTTAACAACCAGTGCGTGTTGCCAGTGATGAATTATGAAACTGAGAAGTGGTCCTTCACTGCTGACCGTATGAGGACGCTCAAGGTCGCTCAGCGAGCTATGGAAAGAGCTATGCTCGGTATTTCTCGGCGTGATAAACTTAAAAATGAGGATATCCGCAGTAGAATCAGAGTGGCCGACATAGCCCAACGGATTAGTAAGCTGAAGTGGCAATGGGCCGGCCATATAGCTCGAAGAACCGAAACCCGTTAGGGAAAAAAGGCTTTCAAATGGCAGCCTTGTACCGGCAGGCGAAGTGTAGGGCGACACCCCACTATACGGAATGACAATTTAAAACTATCCAGATTAACTACAATCACTCATTTTCGTAGTTTCTTTTAAAAATTGTAAAATATCCTAGAATATTTTGGGAAAATCGAATATTCTAAAACATTCTGGAAAATTCTATAATATTGCATTAAAGTTTTCGATATGATCACTCACGTATTGTTAGTGGTCTTGCGCCTATAAGCCATAAAACTTCATAAATAAACTGGACGCATTTGGTATTCGAGGCACGGCTCATGATTTAATAAAAATGTATCTACACGGTGATATAAAATATAGAGATATGAAGAGTATGTACAAAAACTAAAAATAAAATACAATCCTATATAAAACATTAAAAATGTTCTTAAGAGTGATCCGCAGAGTACATTATTATTTTTATTCTATATAAATGACCCATAACGTCAAACTTCCCGTCCAATGATGCTATTTGACGATAACAGAATGGATCACTTAATAAATGTTTGAACAAAAACATTGATCACAGCGCCGCCACCACACGGTGACATGACATTGTGAAATTAAATTATTAGTAGGTATACAATAAAACACTTTTTCAACAATATATTAAATTTAATTGGCAATGGCTGACGTATCAAAACAACTTTACATTTTATTTATGTACTTACTTACATACATTATCTATGCAAACTGGTCAAAAAATGGCGAACTAAGGTTGTAATGAATACTTTTATTAAAAAAGTAAGGCTGTTTTACTTTTAAAAGGAAAATAATCTTAGACTTAGTTTTATTTTTGAAGCTGACAAATTAAAGATAATGTAGAACAGTTATGACATAACATGGGATTATACTTTGGTTTTAATCAAGTACAACTATGTTACATTATCTTCTGTTTATTTTTAATATCACAACCTTATTGAACAAAACTTACTACGATTTTCTTTTAAAATGTCAAAATCTAAGCAATATCGAAAATCATTTCACAACCCTAGTTCGAAATTAGAAGTTTTTACCATCTCGGAGGTTATTTAACCATTTCACTGTCCCGTAAGTCTTTAAACATTTCAATTGTTTAACTATTGTTTCTTTCGCGGGCAGGGAAGTTGATAAAAATGAGTGTCGTTGCGTTCGATCGATTTAACTTAATATTTATAACTACAAGTGTTCGGGCACCAATTACGAGTAGTTCGCTTCACACTCACTCTCAGTCCTCGACGTAGGGAGTAATTAAAAGGTAACACTTGGAATGATTGTTCATTCGAGGCACCGAATCACTATTTGCAGGAAGCGTGTCGTCATAGCGCGGGCACGGGCGAGCCGTGCACGGGGACGCGGGGCAGGCGGGGCGCGTGGTGCGAGAGGTGGGGGCGGTGGGGGGGCAGGTGGTGCGGGAGCTGCGGCAGGTGGGGGGGCGCGTCAGGCTCGTCCAGGTCGAGCGCGGCGTCGATCATGGTGGTGTCGTGCAACAGCCGCAGCCGCGACGCGCTCAGCGCACCCCCTCCCCCAGCTCCACCCCCTCCTCCGACCCCGCGACCGCCCCCGATGCACACTTCTGCGGGTACAATATCACACGCTCACAGATGCACTACATTTCACTAACTAAACCTTACCTTGCTTTACATACAGTCCGAACGGCTAAAATCAATAGTTTTATTGTTGATTTTAGCTATGTAATGGCGATATAAAGATAAGCAGTTAAGCGTAAAATAGCAGCTCAACGCTGCTGTGTTTCGTATGACGAGTTTAAAGAACCGGAGACCCTTTTTACCTAAAACGAGGCATTCCATCTTAGTCCCCAGGATGTAGATATCTATGGGGATGTAGATATCTATAACCGATGGGGAAGAAAGGTTCTCGAGTGGCAGCCTCGTACCGGTAGGCGTAGTGTAGGGCGACCCCCCACTAGATGGAGTGACGACCTGGTAAGACATGCAGGAAGTCGGTGGATACAGGTGGCTCAGGACCGTGCTTTGTGGCAATACTTGGTGGAGGCCTATGTTCAGCAGTGGACTTTTGAAGGGCTGTAATGATGATGATGATGATGAGATAAAACTTTGGCAAAAATTCCCTTTAATGTATGGAGGAGGCCTATGTTCAATAAATGAATGGAATCGATGATCTTAATAAATATGTACGAGCACTGGAACGAGGTTTAGAAGTAACATAGTAAAAAAAAACTTCCATTTAACAGCTCCAGCTCAAAGGACCAAATATTAAAAGGTTAAGTCTTAAAACCATGTCAACCCACATATGAATCAAACCTTTCGTACACACTAACACAAGTAGCGGAATTATACAGGGTGTTTGTGAAACGCTCCCGAAAACGAAGACAGACGATAGTATTAAGGATACCTTTAATGATAAGACAAAAAGAAAATCGATCCCGATGAAAAAAAATCATTTTTACAACGTTTAATTAGCTTTATTTATGCTCTATCATGTTAGTACAGCTAAATGAAACGATAATTTCATTAAAAAAAATCACGAAAATATTTAAACATAAAACTAGCGATGAAAGTTCAAATACCCTAGCATCAGTTGATAAGGGGTCAATATACGCGCGACGCCAAATACGCGCGGTCCGCAGCCCTCGACCGTACCAATACCTAATAATTAACAACACTTGTCTAATTACCTGACTTATTTACTTAATCTACTATTTTGCCACTGTGCTATTCTTTACCTAACCACTTAAATTCGAATTCACAGCGCGGGGAACACACACATAGCGGGGAATGGAACCAAAAAATTCCTGGTTCGATTCCACGCTAGTGAAAAATTTACTTAAAAGAAATTTTAACAAGTATACAGTCATGGTTTATATCCATCGTGTAGGTATGTTTATTATTCTGATGTATTCAGTTATGTAGCTATTCAGACCAGTTCAGTACTAAGTTATTTAAAAAAATTAGGTATGAAACAGCTTACCAATCTAAATCCTAGATGGCCTTATGAGATACGGCTCAAATTGTGCTGGTCTAATAACCAACGACAGAAAACTCGCCGGCGGGCGTGATCGCCAGTAACTAAAGATTGCACTTTGAGTACTTTGTATGGGCGTATTCGGTTACGCTTTAACACCTTGTGAACTGTTCAGTATGACACACTTGTTCCATCCCGACGCCTTAACAATTTAGCTAACTTTGTGTACGTAGGGTTCGGATTCCGGCGAACGACATCTAAAATGCGTTCCTCGGAGTGAACAGTCACTTCCTGCCTCTTGCCGCTACCGCAGCAATAGGACGATTTCCCAACACACGCTGAAATGGTGCTGTTATCAGACGAGAGTCAGCGGTCGGGAATTTCTCTCGGTAAATTCGTAATGCACGCGAAGCATTCCTTCCCCAAAGTACATAAACATGTTGCCGCATTCAAGAGCACTATAAACGTACGCGTTAAGCATTATTAAAACAAAACAAGAAGATTAAACGTAACAAATTCTCCTCAATTTTATTTTAAGTACTAAAACAATTTTCACTAATTAATTTTTTCAAAAATTTCCCTCGTGCTCTCTGAAACAAAGATTTGCCCACGGTAGCTAACTGTGAAGGATGATGGTGAGATTCACCATTTAAGTATCGGTTTGTATGGGTCTTTTTTCTATACACAGTATGACCTATGGTGTTGTTAGGATTTCGGATGATGTGTTAGTCAACGTTCCGGGAAGTCTGCAGTTTGCGATCATATTCTAGATGGCCCCAACCATTACATCAGATTTGATAGACCACAAATCCTCGCGAAAGAATACCGATTCCTACTAAGGATGATACGCGAGGCTATTGAAATTAAAAAACATCCTAATTTCAATAGAGAAGGAGGCTGGGTACTACCACCTGCTTGGGATCCTATAATTAATAAAATTAAAACTAAACCCAAGCATACCACTGCAAGACTTCAAAATACAGTTAGTTCATTCTGCGTAGATCGGACCAAAGACAATAATTAAAAAGCTGAAGGTACTCCGGGTTAACTTTGACATCGGGACGTCAGCCACCTCAGTCCCCCGTGACCATGGGTGCTGGAAAGCACCTGAAACGTCGGGTATTAAAATTAATATAAATAAAACGCGATAAAATCCGTAAAATTAGTTTTAATCAATGAAATGCATTGAAGTTAATTAAAAAATTGAGTCATTAGATATTCATAAGTAACCCAACAAAAATGTTAAGATAAGGATTTATATTTCTTGAAAAAAGGTTCTGAATTGGCTGAAGCTATCGATTTTCAAAATCACAGCATTTTCCTCGCATAATACCAATCCCCAACCAAACTTAAATTCTCCGCAATTTGGGGACATTTCCCCACATGTTGGCAACGCTGAACATGTGTATATTGCACAGCGCCAAGCGACACGAGTCGGCCGTGTGTGAAAGGAAAGGGTAGAGAGAGCAAAGTACCTACCTACCTACAACAATACCTAATGCATTGTTTCGTACAAAGCTAGATAAGAGTTCAGCGTCCGCGCGTTTATTGCCCCTATAATCAGCTGGTAGCATTTTAATTTTCACTGCTGGTTTTATTTTTCAGTATTTTCATGAAATTTTTTAATAAAATTATTGTTTCATTTAGCTGTACTAACATGATGGAGCGTGATTAAAACTAATTAAACGTTGTGAAAAGGTGATTTTTTTTCATTGGGATCAATTTTCTTTTAGTCCCATCATCAAGGGTATCGTGAGTACTATCGTCTGTCTTCGTTTTTCGGAAGCGTTTCACAAACACCCGTCATATATCATATATAATGTTGTTTATTAAATTCCATTATTTTCTAAATTATTATAATTTATTAAAAAGCAGCACGTATATATAGCATAAAGCAGCACGTATGTGTTTTTTGCAGATGTAGAATAAGAGAAAGCAAAATTTAGGCAGTGTTAGTCCCTTCAGCGGTGCCAAACCGACTATCGGTATATCGAAGTACTGAAATGTTGGCACAGTAAGGCTACTACAAGAGAGATGCAAGAAGCAGCATCGTGTTTTGCGGCATTCTTTGGGAAGGCCTGTTCCGCAGTGGACGTGTGATGGGTTGTAGTAGAGATAGTGAAAATGCATCTGTATTTTCATTATTAATCGTTTGCCTTTTTTACTGGAAACAATGCATTCCATCTTAGTCCTCAGGGGTGACAACGCATCTGCGTTTTAATTATTTATCGAGGATAAATGTAGATGTCTATGGGCCACAGCATCCACTTACCATAATTTAGACTGTGTCCTCGTTTGTTACCCTTATTCTATAAAAAAAAATACCACGTGTCCCAGAAATCAACGTCAAGCCGAAAACAGGCAATAGGCCAAGTCGTGACAGTTATTAGAAAAATTTTAATAAAAATCTTGGTACTTTTAAAATAATAAGGATTCAAAAATAAATCTCAAAAATGGACAGTGTGTGAGTGAGATGATCCTTCAAGGCCTGTGACTACAAATATTAACTTTTCGTCATTTTTAAACTTCTGTGATGTAACCATGAATAACCCTTCTGTAAATTACAGTTAAAATATCCTCAATTTCAATCCTTAAATTCAATTTTTTTAATAAAATGTTAGATGTTTACCCAACATTAAATTCAAAATATTTACATCACCCAACTTTAACCGACTGTACTGTAAGAAAACATTGTACATTATTTTGGCAAGTAACTTTAAAACGCATGTTTAGTCTGAATTCCAAAATGGTAGCACACTTATTAATTGCTGCTTCGGAATTGAGGAAAAAAATTAATTTATTAGTTTAAGGTTCATTTTAAATAAGTTGTTGGGTTTCTTTAGTTATTACATATATTTACAGTTTTACAACAAATGATTGAACTGTTATATATTGCCTTCAGTTGCAACGCAAACTCTACATCTCTTGAAAAATGACAGCGTAATAACTCCGTAATAAACGTGATAATTTTTAAAGAGATGTAAACTCTACATCTCTTTAAAAATGATCACGTGATAACATCAATATTACGTTATTGATGTTATCATTAACGCGGCTTTTGCAATTCTGTAGCGCAGCTCGTCTAAATCTTGAATAGGTGTACACTTTATCATTTATCGTACCTCAGTAAAAGAAAACTACGAGTCTAAGTCGGGTGAACGGGCAGGCCAAGAAATTGCATCACCCCGCCCAATCCACCTATCGGAGTATTCTCGATTGAGAAACTCTCGTACTGTGAGAGCGTAATGGACTGGGCAGCCATCTTGTTGATACCATATACTGCCGTAAATGTTCAGTGGCACTTATTCCAATAAATCTCTCTGTGGCGGCGCTGTCGTCGCGCCACAAGCGAAATACACCGAAGTCTAAATCGCGCTTTCAAAGTTTCGAATCATAAACAGTATAGATAGAACAGCTCCGAACTATCACACGGAGAGTTGTCCGCTCCCCGGACAGAACACCTTGCCCGGCGGGAGATCTCCCCCTTTTCCTTCCACGGCCACAATTGTCTTCATCACGACTCACAGCAGATTTATAAGGCAGACTTCTGGCACTTGCTCCGGCACATCGTTCTCACCGGCATCACTTGCCAGTGCGTAGTACGGCATGCATTTACACATCGGCATATCA